ACTCTTAATGTTCATCGTTTACTTGAGTCTGCTACTGCATGTTATAACCCTTGTATGTTTGGTGCGATTTACCAGAAGTTTAAAGTTGGTAAGAATTACTTCGCATACGTCCGCACAATAAAATAAAATAATGTGTCTTACCTAGTTCAAAGAGCACCTCCCTCCCTCCCTCAATTGGTCGCTTATTCTATTATTTAAAAATATATATTTCTATCCCAACCGTATTTCGTAAATACCACTAAAATATCCCGGTAATGATGATAGTATCAAAAACTACATGAAATAAGTAAGTAACCAATCAAAGTACAGCTAAGTTCGAAACTCGGCTGGTGCTTGTGAAGGAAGGCTCTTAATGAACAGTACCTTGGAAAAATTTCAACAAGTACTTTTCCTAAAGCCGGCGAGAATGAGGTTAAAAAAAGTTACATCAAGAATGGTGGGAGAATGGCAGGATGGGACATATCCATAATTTAATGTACCATATTTAAGTTCTTCTGTTTATATTTTTACTTTGATGATTTTATTATGTAAAATAATGAAATATTTAATGGAATTAAATAAAACAAGTTCTAAATTATGAAATTATTATTATTTATTCATGTTTTTCATAAACCTTGTAATTATAGAAACAAGAGTTTTAGCCTTAATTAAAATTGAGGAAGAAATTCATAAAAACAGCGGAAGCTATTTGCAGAAATTGAGCTTAAATTTATATTTTACGGGGAACGTTCAGTTAAAATTTGTTTGAGAGGTTTCTTGATGACTGCTTATAAAAAACACTTAATATTGTGATTGAGGGTGACATTTTTTTCTATTATGTCAACCCCACAGTAAAACTTTCTTCCATACCGTCAAAGTGTTTTACATACGTTAAATATCCTACGAAAAACATTCCGAAACAATATCATACAAGCCTTACAAACACTGGATCCGTGCGGGGTTCGAACCCATAGCCTTACAGGATGTAAAAACTTCTACCGGACGTGAAGGGACTGTACTGATTCTGGACTGGACGTGCAGGTACGATCATAAACTAAAGAAAAACGCCGGGTCGTACGAAAAAGAATTTAAAATTTTCTAGGAAATCACAAATTATATACTTATTATGATTTTTTTGGAAACAGTATAAACAAACCTATTTTTTGCATTGCAAACACTCAGTATCCACTCGATTCACTCTTTTAGCAGCAATTTCCCAGTTTGTACCTTCTTTTCGCAAGTCCTCTTTCCTCGGAATTTTAGACAGAAAGTGCTGAATTGTGATCGAGCTAGTAAATGGTCTTCGACTATTAGTCAATGAAATTGCACTTGCATCTGATGCATTGTTCAATTGCAAGAACTCCCTAATAATTTCTTGCTGCGTCTGTAGTACAGTTTTCCGTAATTTTCTATTAGTAGTTTTTTTTTTTTTTTTTTTTTTTTTTTTATAGAAGAGGGGGCAAACGAGCATGTGGCTTACCTGATGTTAAGTGACTACCGCCGCCCATGATCAACCGCAACACCAGGGGAATTGCAGGTGCGTTGCCGGCCCTTTAGAAAGGAGTAAGCTCTTTTCTCGAAGGTCCCCAGGTCGTATCGGTCCGGAAAAATCACCGGTGGTAAATTATTCCACAGAGAGGTTGTACGCGGAAGAAAACTCCTTTTGAAACGTACAGTGGTGGACCGCCAAGTATCCAGATGGTGTGGATGGTATCGGGACGTTTGCCGTGTAGTGCGTTCACGAAATTTGGCGGCTGGGATTAATCCGAACAATTCCTCAGAGCACTCCCCGTGATAGATGCGATAAAATACGCAAAGAGATGCAACATCTCTTCGCAGCGCCAGTGAATCGAGCCGATCGGAAAGCACTCGGTCGTCGACGATTCGAGCCGCTCTGCGCTGGATGCGGTCAAGTGGAAGGAGCTGGTACTGGGGAGCCCCAGCCCAGAGATGGGAACAGTATTCCATGAGCGGCCGAACCTGCGCCTTGTAAAGTTGCAGGCGGTGTGCCGGCATGAAATACTGTCCCGCTCTACTGAGCACGCCAAGCTTTTTAGAGGCCAATTTGGCCTTCCCTTCCAAGTGACCACGAAACTGCACGTCACTCGATATGTCGACGCCGAGGATTCCGATACTGGCTGAGGCAACAAGGGGGAGTGCCTTGAAACTGAGGGGATACGACAAAGGGGTTCTTTTTTAGCGGTTAACGCGCAAACTTGTGTCTTCTGGGGGTTAAACTGGACTAGATTTAGTCGCCCCCAATCCGAGACTCTGTCCAGCAGAGACTCGACTTCAGACACAAGTTTGTCCCGGCACTCAGAGACGTTTTCCCGAGAAATATTTGCTCGGCCGGTGTAAAGAGCATCACCAGTGCTGTCATCTGCATAGCAATGAATGCTACGGGTTTGCAACATATCATTGATATGCAGAAGAAACAGCGTTGGCGATAGCACGCAGCCCTGTGGAACACCAGCATTAATAAGATTGCAATCGGAGCTTGCACCGTCTACAACGACCTTGATGCTCCGATCTGCAAGAAAACTGGTGATCCAATCGCACAATTTCTCGGAAAGCCCATAGGAAGGGAGCTTCGAAAGAAGCGCTTTGTGCCAAACCCGATCGAAGGCCTTCGCAATGTCCAAACTAACGGCCGATGCCTCCCCCTTGGACTCTACTGCCTCCGCCCATCTGTGAGTTAGGTAGACCAGAAGATCACCAGCTGACCTACCACGGCGAAAACCGTATTGGCGGTCACTAATCAGCTGGTGATCCTCAAGGTACCTCATGAGCTGGCAGTTTACAATGGACTCCATTGTTTTGGAGAACAAGGAGGTGATGGCGATAGGCCGGTAGTTGGACGGGTCTGAGCGGTCGCCTTTTTTAGGGATCGGGTGGACGAAAGCCGTCTTCCATGATTTTGGGACTACGCCTAGGGAGTAGGAGTACCGGAAAAGACGCGTTAAAACCGGTGCCAACTCTGGAGCACACGTCCTCAGCACAATTGGGGGGATTCCATCAGGCCCACTCGACTTATGGATGTCCAGGGAGAGGAGTGCTTTGCGAACCGAGCGCTGAGTGAAGTGCACTTCCGGCATGGAGCACTCACACCGCGGGATGGTCGGCGGCGTACTCCCCCCGTCATCGAGAATCGAGTTAGACGCAAAGAAAGAGCCTAGAAGATCGGCTTTCTCCTTTGCGGTGTGGGCCAGTGAGTCGTCCTCCCTGTGCAGAGATGGAAGAGATGGCTGACAGAAATTCCCCTGGACAGCCTTGGCGAGAGACCAGAATGCACGGGTTCCAGAAGGAAGACGAACTAGTCTCTCGCCAATTCTGCCTATGTGCTCTGACTTTGCCTTGGCAATGACTCTTTTGAAGGACCTAGAGGCGGAATTATACCTCTTTTTTAGAGCGCTGGTGTTTACATCCCTGGACGCTGATGCGTCAGCCCAGGCTTGGTAGCACTCCTGCTTATAGCATGATGCTATTTTACAGGAGCGACCAAACCATGGCTGAGATTTGCCTCCAATGGGCACCACAGAGGAAGGAATAAAAAGTTCCATACCCTGAAGTACCACATCAGCGACAGAATCCGCAACAACGTTGGGATCATCCGGCGAGAAGCAAACCCGCCCCCAAGGGTAGGATGCAAAGAAAGACCGCATCCCATCCCAATCGGCTGACCTATAGTGCCAAACACGGCGGCAGCCTGCAGAATGCAACCGCGATTTCAGCGTGAGTGGCACCACACTCCGGACAAGACAATGGTCCGAGGAGCCTAAAGGGGCGTCGACGGAAATCTGATATCCGTCCGGGTGAGAGGTCAGCAGAAGGTCCAACAGGGAAGGTGCATGATCCTCCACATCTGGAATCCGCGTAGGCGAAGTAACCAGTTGTGTCAGACCATATGCCAAGGCAAAATCATGAACAGATCTCCCCGCATGATCGGTTAAACGTGAACCGAGCCATTCGGCGTGATGGGCGTTGAAGTCGCCGAGGATCACGATCTCTGCGGAGGGGATCTGCTGTAGCAACGAATCTGCAGCCATTTGGACGTGGTCGAAGAGTCGGTCTGTTTCGGCATTACCGCTATGGGACCTATAGAGGCACCCGTAGACGCGCGGATGGTCGTCGCTGTCTACGCGTAGCCAAAGGATGGACAGGTCCGAACCTTCAAGTCTGCCGAGGCGTCGAGAACAGATGTCCTCTCTGACGTAAACGCAAACTCCAGCCCGAGGCACAAAGGAGTGTTCCAGTTTGTACCCCGGGCAGGAGAGATACGAGACATCAGCCGGAGAGGACACCTGCGTCTCGGTCAGAAAGAGCAGAGCCGGCCTCGCCGTCTCGAGATGGTAGTGGACGGCGTTTAGGTTAGAGTGAAGTCCCCTGATATTGCAGAAATTCACGGACAGCGTGGCAGGCGTCGCCTTGGTCTTGTTGCTCCGTTTGCCCCGAGCAGTTTTAGTCTTGAGCGGAATATTGCCCCCCCCAGAATACGCGGGGCAGCCTGAGCACCCACGCTCAGAAGTGGAGAAACATGGTCGTGGATGCTCAGCGAGGGATTCTCCAGGGGTGCTGGTACCCTCCTGGGGTAGTCTATCATTTAATTCCGCTACCATGTTGATGAGGGGGGGGGGATTTGGGCCTCCGGCCACCTGCACTCACCAGACGAAACGCGGAATCAGAGCTTCCACTTCACGCCGGTATTCTGTGAGGTCGTGGTACCACCCCGGTTTGAGCCGGCCCATACGTGCGACAGCAAAGCTGCCGCGTGGCTCTACCACTGTTGAAAGTAGTAGTAGAATGTTTGAATGTTTGTGATACATAGGCGTGGCGTTTGTTATTGAAGCACATATCAAAATATCTAAAGCGATCTTTTTGTACCATGCCAGAGACTTTCTTTTTGGGTCATAATAACTTGAAAGCTGGTCACATACATCTATGCCTTTTTTCCCTCGTTGTAATAGAGCACGCCTTCCGGCTTCAAAATTGGCCGATATCCCGAAGACATTCGCATAGTAGCGTCATGGTATGTAGAAATCATTGCAACGTTTGTCTCTCCATTTCATCACTGTTACATTGTCCTTCTGTCGAGCAACTACTTCACCTTTTTTAGGTCTTATTTTTTTCAATCTTATTGCCCATGGAAGTTCTTTTCTATTTACTCTCAAAGTGTCGCATAAGTCTGTCTTATGCTGCAGTAAATATTTTGCTAATCTAACGGTATTGTAATAGTTGTCGCACACAATTATCCGTCCAGCTTCTAGAAGACCATCACATAACTGAACTATGACACTTCCGGGCTTATCCAAATCAGCGATCTCGGGGTCGCGACCTATGTAAATGTCATAGTTCCAGACAAAACCATCTTCTGTGCAAAGTTTATAGATTTTCAAGCCGTATTTGCGAGCTTTTGATGGGTTGTACTGACGGAAAGTATCCTCCCTCTAAATGGCATCATCGACTCGTCAATGACGATAAATTCATTAGGTGTCAGTAAGTTGATAACAAGGTTCAAAAGTGGTTTATTTTGTACAGACGTTCGTTTTGATCCCTCGGAGCTTCATTATCAACAAAGTGCCAGCAACGTAATATTGATGAGAAGCGATTATATGACATGTTTACATTGTGAAATATTGGATGGTAGTAAATAGAGTCTAATTTCCAATACGATTCAATCGTCGGAAATTTCACAATACCCATCAACATGTACAAGGCAATAAATTTCAACATTTATTCGCGTGTAATCTGTGTCTGTCCACCGATTCATGCGATTATGAACTGATATGTTAACGTTCTGTTTCAGTTGAGAAGCGTACAGATTTGTTTGAGTGACCATAAGATCTAACACTTCGTCGGTCAATATACGTCGATAAATGGAAACAACAGATTGTTCATCTTGGATATGAATAGTTGGGCTGTTATTATAAGGTTGACGTGACAGTTGTAAGATGTCCTGACTCCAGCCATTTTCTCTATCTATATCATTTATTTCTTGCAGAGTAAGTCGCATGATCTCACCAGCAGTCCGCCTTCTGCTCGTTTCTGGCCGAGGTGAATTTATGACGATATCGGATAAATTATCAGCAGGTGAATCACTACCAATGTCATCGGATATAATGTTTGAGCGGGAAATATCACCTGGTTCAAAATCCTGATCATCGATATCGTCATCTGCAAAATGAAAAAAATACTCGGTTCTTGATCCGAAATATCAGAATCTGGCTTGTCTTGTACATCGCTATCGCCACCGCCGTTCGAATCCGTGTCATCGTTACTCAATTCATAGTCACTTTCTTCCAGTATTCGTCGCAAGTCCTGAAGTTGATAATCTTCGCGGCATTTTGAACAACAAAAAACGCGTACAATATAACCTTGAAACAATTTCATGAACAGAATTCATAAATGACAATGACATAACATAATTGACAACATATCTATAATCTATGGAAAATATTCCACAGATAATCAAATGTGCACAAGTTCGTAAATATCGTGAAAATACATAAATAATAATAGTAAAGTAATTAATAAAATAAATACTTATGAAAAACTCATAAATATAAAAAATATTCCCTGAACCACATGTGGTTCATGAACTTGCAGGAGCAAAAATGTCTCTCAACGCTCATGAACCATATGTGTTTCAGGGAAATAAAGCCTACTTTTAGTTATTTTCTTAAATGATTTTATTACTAGGGTTACCCTGTGACTATAAAAAAAAAAACAAATTATTCAAAAAACCCTATTGGACGTGTTGGTGAATTTTGCATATTTGTATGTGACAGGAAACGTGTTATAACTTCTAAATGGATTTCCGTCTTATCATGGCGATGAGGCTATGGAGATCCAAGCTGTCCTTAATTAGAGACCAGGGTAGTCGTACTCTGGCTTTGGCTATAAAAAAAAGGATGGCCTTATCTTATTTTTTTTCTTTATTTTTTTTAGACTTTATTAAAAACGTTACATTCACACTAGAAATTTTTTCTGTATCATAGGGGCATTTTAAAAACATATATTTCACAGTAACAAATATTTAGATCCGGAAAAATTATTTTTAGGGCATAAAATTACTTGTTCCGTGCGGGATTCGAACCCGCGACCGTTATCGCTGCAACTCATTGCAAAGCCATTGCACGAAGGATCCTGGATGCTGGTTGGTGGAGTGTGGTACCTCACGAGTCATCAACCGCACAGGTTTCACCTCGTTCGTGAAACCCCCTTACCGGGAAAGAGAAATGGTGTTGCTACTTTCAAATCACCGTAACATATCCATCCTAATCGTGGAGGAAGGTGTTGTCCTTTCCAAATTAAACTATGTTGGTATGTGAATAATGTACAGGTGGAGTTTTAGTAAGGGAGAGCCTGATATCATTGCCTGGTGGCAGGACAGCTTTTCTGTCCAGGAGAACGTCTTGGAAGGTACCATTCTCTCCACTTTACCAATTTTGCCACCAGATATCAGAGCTTTGTCCTGGTACGAAGGGTACAAAGAACCGGGTTAGTTACAGGCTGTGCATTCCATTGTGATCCTCAGAGGTGAAAATGCATCTGGAACTTTCTTTGTTTGAAGTTTGCTGCAGGTGTGTATGGATTGCAGTATTCACCTACCATCAGGCGGATTGTAGGTTCGTTGTTACGTTCACAATATTTTAATACAAAAAAGTGCATTCTAATCTAGAATAATATTTATTCGAAACATATAACAAGAATTTTTATTAAAGTCATTTACGTTTTTATCATTAATTCAGAAAAATTCCCTGGGAAGAACCAGTATTAAACATTATCTTACAATGTAATATGTCACAAAATTAAATATAAAAAGATTTAGAAACAGCACGGTAGCGATCAATACATTCGCAGGATATATTATCAATAATTTTGTTAATACCTTAACACCTAAGTTATTAATTAAATCATGAGAAAACTTAATTATGCCACAAGTTATTAAATACAAGTGATCGGAGTGCAATCCACGAAGTGACGCTTAATTAAATTGCTGCTTGAAGTTACTGCCAAGTTAAATTCTTCAGTTCTAAATTAGGGATTGTAGATTATCACTAACTTTTATTTAATGAATAGACTCTTGTTAAGTCTAGGTCTTAACAAACGAGTATATATCAATATTATTCACTATCAATCTAAGGTTACTACAAAATAAAATCACTATCCATAATTTTTTCTTAAATTTACCCGAACACTACACATTAAATAAAACTATATTTACGGATTTTATCGCGTTTTAACTTCTTTTTAATTCCTGACGACTCGGGTGCTTTACTTTGCTTGAAATGTTTGACGTCACAAAATCATAGTTAGCCCGGCTGCTTTCAGTTTTTGAATATTAATTTTTGGGTCCGATCTGCGCAGAACGAGTTTACAGTATCTTGAAGTCCTACAATTGTATGCTTGTGTTTGGGTTTAATTTTGTTAATTGTAGGATCCCAAGCAGATAGCAGCACCCATCCATCTTCTCTATTGAAATTAGGATGGTTTTTTTAATTTCAGTAGCCTTGCGTATCATCTTTGGTAGGAATCTGTGATCTTTTGCGAGGATTTATGGTTTATCAAATCCGATGTAATGGTGGGAACGATCTTAGATATGTTCACAGACTGCAGACTTTCCGGAGCTCCTGGTTTATATGTTTTTCCAAACAAGTTTTATAGATATTTTTGTTTGACCTATGTAAGAGAGGCTACATTTACAATCAAGCTTGTACACTCCTGCATCTTGTAGGGGAATATTAAACTTGATGGATGGTAAACATTGACTTTTAATCTTCTTCGGCGGCTTGTAGTATGTTTTAACGGAAGCTACCGCTTCAATATGTAGCCAACCTTGTCTGTGACTCCACTGGCATACGGTAGTACAGCAGGCACGCGCTCGACTGTGGCCGGCTCCACTCGGACACAGTGACTTAGACGCGAGACCGAAGGCTTGTTATCTTGCAATACTTGCTTGACGTGCTGAAACTCGGCAGCCAGATGTTTTCTGTCACAGATCCCTTGTGCTCTCTGAAACAAAGATTTACCCACGGAGCAACTTTATATTTGCTCCGTGGATTTACCCACGGTAGCTAACTGTGAAGGATGATGGTGAGATTCACCATTTAAATATCGGTTGGTATGGGTCTTTTTCCTATACACAGTGTAATCAATAGTGTTATCGGGGTTTCGGATGACTAAAATATCTAGGAAAGCTAAAGAATTATTTGCATCTAACTCCATTGTGAATTCTATTTTAGGTGCATAGAGTTAAGGTTGTCAAAAATCAGTTACTTTGTCAGATGGTAACATTGTGAAAGTGTCGTCTACGTACCGCTTGTAGGATCTTGGATTTACAGGAGAAGTAAAAAGGGCTTTCTCTTTAAAGTTCTCCATGAATATGTCGGCGATGGGATCGTTGGGGTCAAAACTGGTTTCCCAGGGGTCAACAGAAACGAGAAATGATATTTTGTAACTGTAAAGTGTAATAATAGTTTGTGATGATAAAAAATGTGGCAATTAAATTGATAATTGTGATGGGACTTGTTTCCGAACTTGATAAAAGGATTGGAGGGTAGGAACCGAGGACGAACAGCGGAGGGCGGGGTTCGCGACGAGCGGTGACAGAATAAATGATAGTACGACGTAGCGGTAATTCTTGTCAGACGTTTAAAGTTTAAAGGCGTATAAGTTTGCTTAAATATATTAAGACGGTGTATCAGTGAACCTTATGTATTTTAAATAGAAGCTTATATTCTTGGAACGTTAATTTTATAAGTGCAACGGAGTAAGTGTTTAGTACTATACGTTGTTTGGTAGTCTGAGTAATCCTGGAACATTATTCTTAGATTGTGCAATTATTTCAGTCTATGGAAACGCCCATCAAGTTAATTGTGACAATTACGCCTTCCTGCATCTCTGATATGAAGTGTTATCAGTAAAATTTATTTATCTTCAAAGATGAGGACAGTGAAAGCCAATAATATATTCTTATTTGAGACCCGTCGTCGTCGACAAGTATTGCCCATTACTTAGAGCGGCAATACACGCATCGGGCGACTTCCTGAGGTTGCTGGTTCGAGCCTCGAGTATATATATTCAGTGTTTTTATTGTTTTTCCCTTTTTCTTTTATATTCAGTTTTTTATTATTTTCCCCTTTTACTTTTATAATTCATAAAATTTTATAATGATTTTATGTTCTCATGTACGTTATAAAAGAACTAATAGTACATTTTATGTTTCGTTGCTTGTAATTTTATTTTGCAGTTAATGTGTAATGTAGATTATGCTTAAGAATTATCTAGTTGTTTGCTTTGTGTTCGCTAGTGTCTTTATTGTAGCCTTACATGTTTGTTATAAATATCTTACACATTCACACATATGTTTCTTGTCTCACCCGGACCCCGACCCCTTGAGCATCCATGACAAGTTATTAATTAAAATTGATATTTACGGAAATTTATGTCTATTTATTTTGTTACATATTGATGAGAAAATGATGTCAAGTTTACTAACTTATCCAAGTGCAAAGTTTTAATAAATTGCTAAGTGTTTCGTATCAATAGGAAAAAACTAGTGATTTTTAAAGTAATTTGGCTGTGGGGGTCTGAGCTCTTAGTTCATTTTCGAAAAGCGGTCTCTTGCGCAAAGTAGAAGGCGAATGGGGATAAAATTACTAACATGCGACTCACCTGATGGTAAGTTATCATTGACACCTATGAACATTCACAAAACCAGGGGAATTGCAGGTACGATACAGGCCTTTTAAAAAGGAATAGGCTCATTTACTGAAATTTACCAGACACAATTCTCAAAAGCGTTGCAGAAACTCCTCGCGGAAGAATCTCGCTTTGGTGATTTGGTGATTTTTTCATAAAATGAGGGTGATAAACAAGCACACAGTCCATTTTATGTTAAATGGATGCTGTGGCCCATAAAGTTCCACATTAAATTTATTCTCGATTAGGAATCAAAAAAACAAATGCATTGTTACCCTGAAGACTGAGTTAGCATTCGTCTTTTCCAGTAAAATGGTTGTCCTGTTCTCTACACTCACCATACGAAACATAACAGCATTACTGCTGTTGCTGCTATTTTACGCTGGTATTCCGTGAGAGCATGATCCTGCCCCGGTAGAACCGACCCGTACTTGCTATAATAGAGCTGCAGTGTGAGTCTACATGAAGAAATCCTATAACTAGTCCTTTACCATAGATTTCGATTCGGAATTTCTGGAGGTCGTCATAGTTTTTCTGCCTGCAGTCGGTTTTTATGCAGTCTTTTTTATAGAATAAGGATGACACATGCGCATAGTCCACCTGATAGTAAGCGGATTCTGTGGTCCACACACATTTATCCTAGATTAAGAATCAAAATTCAGATGCGTTGTCACCCCTGATAAATA